TAATGCTGCGTAATTTGTTCGATGCGACCGCTTAGACCAACACCAATCTACAACTATATTTATAAACGGCATACCATCTTTAGTGACTCTACCTTCCCTAATTGCTGCTTCTCTTTCTCTCTCACCGGCTTTCTTCATTTCATGACATGCAGTCTCTTCCCAATCGTTACAAATATCGTTTTTTGTTTTAGGCTGTGTCCCCAGTAAGCAAACTGTCAGCGGCCGACTGAGTGAGCCGCAAATTTGCAGCGAACTGAAATTTGAGTTAGCTGCAGACTCAAATCAATTTTCGTGCGTCGCAAGCAAACTGTTAAGAGTTAGCCGCTTATTTAGCCGACCGACTTAATTATCACTTTACTTTTGTTGTACGAAGGGAGTGGTTGTGTTGGTCACGATGGATATTTTTGAAGTAATTGGTATCTTAGAAGCGCTGAAAGAGGATAAAAGGAAGCACTGGGTTCACCCATTATACAAGAAAAGGTTGAGCATTGGACAATTTCACACTCTTTATCCAGAACTAAGGAAACATCCAGAAAAATTTTACGACTATTTCAATATGACTTCTCATACATTTGATGAATTGTTGAAATCTATAACCCAGTACATAGCTAAAAATAATATCACAAGAGATACATTATGTCCCGAAGAACGGCTTACTATAACTTTGAGGTAAGTAAATAATTAACGCTTTAGGATTTTAAAAAAATATGTTATTTTTATTGTAATACAAAGTCACTTTCGCATTTATAGTTTTTAATTTAACAATCACTTTTCAAAGTTACTGTATTATTAAATTGAATTAGGAACATATATGGTAACATTAAGTTGGTAACCTGTCATTCCTCATCTTCAGTGTGGTTTGAATCGCCTCGCAATATTGCTTCTATGTCTTCTATTTCCGCTGAAGAACCTGTAGAGCTATGTGATGGACTGTTTCGAGGGTAGTTTTGCACATTTGGTGTACTGCTGCTTCCACTCGCATAGCCATACTGATGTGGGTACTGGTAGGCATTCGTCCATCCAGTTTGCATCATACCACCGTCATAATTATTATGTACACTATATTTTATATTTTTAATAATTTTCATCACTTCGAACCGAAATTCAAAATTCTGTGTTGGGGACATTGTCTTCATTTCCGGTAAAATATTTAGTAGAAAGTTCATATCTGGATCGTTTTCTCTTTTTTTTTCCATCGAGTTAATTAGGGCTTCTTGAAACACAGTCATCTTTTTTGGTCTACTGACATTAACTACCGAGTCAGTAGAATCATTTTCATCTAAAATAGCGCTACTGTCGCTAGACGTCTCGGCGCTAATATTGCCAGATGTCTGGTTGCTAGCTCTAGAAACATTTAAAAACTGTAACATGTCCAAGTATGGTGTCTTGCGTTTTTTTGTTGCGCCACTTCCGCTTTTGACTGAGGAATCCTTATTTTTTTCTCTGGTGTGATAGTCGCGCAAACCCTTCCATTTTTTTTGTAGGTCTTTTACTGAAACAGAAATAATCGGTAGTTCAATATTCTTTCCAGATTCTTGTCAAGTGGACTAAGTTACAGAAAAATTGCACAAGAGTTTCTTGTTGGAAAATCGACGGTATCGAAAATAATAAGTGAAACTGCATGCATTATATGGGATATTTTACAGCCACAGGAAATGCCGGAACCTTCTGAAGAATTGTGGCTAGAAATAGCAAAACGATATTATAAAAAAACCAACTATCCTAATTGTATAGGATCTATCGATGGCAAGCATATCCGTATTAGAAAACCACCAAAAAGTGGGTCTAACTATTTTAATTATAAGAAGTTCTTCTCAATTGTTCTGTTAGCCGTAGCAGATGCAAACTGTTCTTTTATAGCTATTGATGTAGGTGCTTGCGGACGAAATGCTGACAGTAATATATTTAAAGAAAGTGGTTTTGGCAAAAAATTGGCGTGTGGGTCTCTGAAGATTCCTAACTCAACTAAATTGCCTAATTCAAATGGATTGCCCCAACCTTTAGTGTTTCTTGGAGATGAGGCATTTGGATTACAAAAGCATATCTTGAGGCCTTTTCCTAATAAAAGTTTAAATAAGGAAGAGCGAATTTACAATTATCGTCATAGTCGAGCTAGGAGATGCGTGGAATGTGCATTCGGCATCCTAACAAGCAAATGGAGAGTTCTGCATACACCGATCGCTACTAATGTGAATACAACCATCGCTATCGTAAAAGCCGTTTGTATTTTACATAATTTTGTCATAGCAAGAGAACAAGCACAATATGCACATATTTCGCGACGTACCTCAACAACTCTTACAAGTTCAAGGAGCCAAATTATTACTGTATCAAATTCTGGAAAAACAACAAGAGAAAACTTTAAAAACTATTTTCTTAACGAAGGAAAGCTATCCTGGCAAGAGAAATATTTGTAAGTTGTAGCTACAGGAAGAAATAGTGTAACGGAGTGTGTAAAGCCGTAAATACTATGTAAATTATGATACTTTGTTTTATGTAGTGAGTGATACAAGTATATTGTTGAATAAATAATAAATTCATTAGAATGGAACTTACTTCTTTTTTGTTTAGTGTTTTCTTCTAAGTTTTGCCAATCATCGTATATAATTTCAGCGACTTCATTCCAATTGCTCTGCTTTAATACTCTGTTGCTGTATTCTTCACTCGACATGTTCCATATGCATGGTCTATTCTGTATTTCACTAATGAACCTTTCCGTATCAAAGGACATCTTGGATTTTCAGTGATGTGTGTGTGCGTTGAGATTAGTTAGGTGCGATGCAAAAAAACACGTCCTAACACGATGATAGCTTTTTTCCAACTATCCGAATAATCAGTTTGAGTCACTACGCCCGGCGAACAACCAATCGCCGCCGCCGACTGGAACCGGTTTTGGTGGGAGTCGGCCGCTCACTAAGATAGTCGGCGCGCGTAACGCTGCAAACTGCGTACAGTGAGCGCAAAACTAGCAAACTGTGAACACTCCATTTGAAATATATGGAAGGGCGTACTAAACCGATACGCCGCTAACTCAGTCGGCCGCTGACAGTTTGCTTACTGGGGACACAGCCTTATTGTACGTATGGCCTGATATAATAGGCAAATCTACTGCTGCTCAAAATTGCTTTAGTTGTACATGCCCACAGCCTGCTGCCATCACCCACGCATCAGCGTCTTTGTTTATATCGGCCATTGATGACTTTATTTTGTTTTTGTAACAACACAGTGAACTGACACATGTAAATTCGGATTGCAAGCCTACTTGATTTTCAGAAACTAATTTCATTGTAACTAATCCGGAATCGAACAAAGACTTATCGATAAAAGGCCATTGAGTCTTTTCATTTATATTCGGCAAAAATATCCAGTCAAATTTATCAAATTGTTGAAGAGGCTGATTCCAATCTTCAACGTACGTTTTTATTTCATTATAGAAACTCAGAGTACAGTTTTTTAACTCTTGTTTTATCTTCTCGTCGTGTTTGTACACGAAGTCGGGCACTAGGATTTTTGTTATAGATCCAAGAATATATCGAGCTTCTAAGACTTTTCGCTGTTTTCTTATATTTCTATTTTGTTATCTAAGATAAGTATGCATAATGGAATGGACAGCAAGCAGTAGAAGCAAATAAGCCTCTGACAGTGGATTTTGGAAAATATCTTTGACCACGACAGGTGGTTTTTGTATATGTTCAAAGTAGTCTTTCAGTGGAGTGAAGAGCTTCAGAAGTCTTTCTGTTGCAGGAAACAGACTAAGTCATCTAATTGGAATGATATAGAAGCTCTTTGTATTCGACATCAGCTGTCTCACAGAACTCTTTGAGGGATTCAGTTCGAACTTTGTATAGAGAAAAATATTGTAAATTTTCAAGACGATAGTCTCAGCGTCCACTGGCAGGAAGTCACATCCATGATGAATGGCGTTGTTGATAACGTGTGCAGAGCAACCAACACCAACCAGGTTAGGGTTCACATTTTGTTTTAGCTTATAGAAGACATTGTTGACTCCTTGTCGTTCTTTCGCCCAAAGTGTATTGCAGTTATCTCCTACAAACGCTACACACTTAGACAAAAGATCAAGTTTTCGAAATTAGTTTATGATCAATTCAGTAATGGTCTCGGACGTTTCATTTACCGTGGTCTCTACTTCGAGGAGTTTCGTAGTGATTCCTTCATTTCTTACATCGAAATATTGAACTACCAAAGGAAATAATTTTTCACTGCCATGGTTGCTAGCATCAGTAGCCGCGCTTATAAACGGAATGTTTTGTAAATCATTTTTTAGTTTGGCAATCGACAAAGGAATGAAACGATTTTTACCGGTTATATGCACTGTATTTATTTATCTGACATATTGCAGCATTTTCAGGATTGCATCTTCAGAAATAATGGTATTTTATTATTTACTTTGTCAAGCTACCTTCGAAAGACTTTTATTGAGCGTTCCGATATTTCATTGAAAGATTTTTAAAACTTTATTGTCTATGCTTGAATTTATTAGCTAATTTAATTAATACAGTTATTTATTTAATTATTTTTTTATGATTATAAGTTTAACCGACAAAGGACTTCAAACTCCTGTAGCTATTGCTGTAGGTTAATTTATTAAAATAACCATGATGGTCTCTTTTGAATACATTGGCTTCGTTTAAAAAATAAAGGTGCACATTAAATACCATTTGCCGTGCTTGTGACTTTAGCGGCTTCCCACGTTTAAATTTATCTATACTGAAAGAAGATGGAATGGGCGGAATTAGGCATATTTTTATTTATTTGTTGTATTATTACATTATGTTTACTTCTATAATATTATTTATTCCTATACCTATTTGTTTATTTATGCAAATGTATCATTCCATTACATTTATGGTAGCCTATTTCTAATTTTATAATGTCTTTTTCTCGCAGTTCATTTATTTTAAAGGTAGGTATTGTTTATTTTTCAATATTAAACGACGTGTAAAAAGTTTATTATGTGTACCTATTTTACAAAATAAACTATTTAAATTTGAATAAGAAAGAATGACTGACATGAATAATAGACACTCATGGTTTTTGATTATGCAGCCAACATAATTAAAGTTGAAATTAAACTTACCTCTGAAAACAAAACAAAGAAGGGTGTGTAATAGGAGCTCTATATAATCCACATAGAGAGAACACGTGCAGTCACCGCCAATATTTAAAGACGACTGACTGACCGGCGACCGCCGCACAGTGTGGGATTTTCAAATCTAGCGGAACTTATTACGTTTTTTAGAATTTACAATTTTTATTATAAATACTGACGACCATATCGTAATCACACGCGCTATTTTCATTGTAAATTCTTAAGTAATCGTCGCTTCGTCTTCTTCGCTGTCGTCATCATCGGAGTCGCTTGCTGGTGGTATTTCTGGAGCCTTGAAAAGCGCCATGGTTTCATGGGGGATACTATATGTTTTTCGGGGCCAATTTATGTTTAGGCTGGATAAGTAAGGGTCTGATGATATAAGAAATCGGTTAAGGACATCTCTGTTCGTTTTTTGTCTGGAGGTCTTCCGGCTAAAGTGCTCGCGGAAACGTCTATACTCTTTATTACTTGCTTCTTGCGCTTCCTCCGATAACTGCCCGAGAGGCAGCACACAAGCACGCATATTTTTTTCGGAGTGATGCAAAATCTTATGAATGCTGGCAGGCATATAGTACCAGGAGTAATGCTGCAAGTAATTTTTTTTTGTCTTTCTCGCATAAGCAGCTAATGCAGTCAATTTCATGGTTGCTCGATAAAGCCTCGAGTAGAACTCGGAAGTGGTGTATGAGATCAGCTTCGATGCCTGTTATTTCGGCTGTCTTTTCTGTGTTCCTGAAAAATCTGCGGGCTGTGTTGCCGTCATTGGTGTTTCCTGCCGACTGCTTGGGCATATCGACTAGAAGGCCCATTTCTGTTAGAAATTTTTGTTGTATAGTTGCCTTTCTAGCAGCTACTGAGTTTTTCTCGCCTGGTGTCCTGTCCTGTTTGTGATTGGCTTCTTTATCCACTAGTCGAAGCGGTACAAGTGTGATGGAGAAAGGGTGTCCGTCGCTATACTCTGTATCATTTAGGGTTTGCTTGTACCTATTTGTGCGGAACTGCCGTCGCATCCCCATTTCGTTATGAGATGCAGATTTAAAGGCGTGGTAGTCACAAATACTTCCTTTTGTGCAAGACATATCCTCTTTATAGTTACATCGAACAAGGCTTGCAATTGAACTTCAGCGGACACGTCTGTGATTGTGATTGCTTCTTCTGTCATGTTTGGCCTTTTCAACGAGTTGGTACGTAGGATAGACTTTACCGCCGATGTTTTTATTAAGTTTCCTTATCGTTTTATATTGTTGTGTGCTCAGTTTGGCATCAACCATCATTGAAAGAGCCTGTTCTGGGGTCATTTTTATTTGAGGTGCATCAATCGATTTTAAAGATTTTTTTTATTTTAGTAGCCCGCGAAGGTGACCTGTTGGCTACTTCTTTAACTATACTAGCAGCATCTCTTTTACCGCCTGACCGCAACGCAACCTCAGCAGCAAGAGCTGACTCTTCTTGCGATTTCGTAATTATTAAATCTTAGATTTTTCTTTTTTTAACTTTAGGGGTGCATTCACTAAATGGTTTAACTGGTCGTCCCACATTGGAGTTACTAGCCAACTCTGTTGACCTCGTAGATGGCAAGACGTTGAAAAACTGGCTCGGCAGTACTACGTTGCTCTCTAGCCATGTTAAATTATTTTCGAGAAACCTAGGCAGTTTTCGTTCGTTTCGCTCCCATTTTTGTTCAATTTTCTTACACATACTACTCATAAATACTCGCAACACCCTTGGCACATTCATTGTTTGATCTGCAATGTTATGTTTTTCTAATATTCTATTACATACAAATTCATTTCTGTTTTCCTTTTTTGCTCGAAGCCAAATCTCGAAAATTTCGCGCTTTTTCATAGCTTGACCTCCTATGGAAAAATAAAAAAAAATGTATGGCGGACGCAAAATGGCGCAAGCAAATAAAGCTTAATCTCATAGCGTGCTATACAACAAAGAATATAAAGTGCATTTTGGGTAAGATACACGGGGATACATTTTGTAAATTCAAGTTGATTTACAAATTTTAAAAATAAATTCTCCTTGCAGCCAATGCAATGGATTAGTGGTAAATCTACTACTTGAATTTATAACACGGAGTAATTCTTACCTAATTAGCTTCCACAAAGAACAACGATTACAACAACACAATATATTTGAAAATGTAACTGGCAAATAGTACGCCATCTGTCTTAATACAACGCGCGCTGCAACAGATTAAAATTGAACTAATGAAATTAAAAAAAATAGCGTCACTTTGAAGGGTTGCCATATGAAAAATGGTGTTGCTAGGGAAAAAATGCTTTTGAAATATAAATGCATGGTGTGCTAGAGATAGTGTTGGGCTATAATAACGAATGCTTGTTACAAATAAAAAAAATAATTAAGTTCCATTCGATTTAAAAAAAATACAGTGTGCGCCGCCCGAATTGCTTTCGATTGTGTACATATGATATTTACTCCTGTTTCTTTAGAACAAGGTGCGAAATACAAATGCATTGTTTAGGGCTTTTACGATTCAATGATTCGAGTGTTTCCGGGAATACGACCATTAACGAAGATTTGTATGCGCATTATTAATTTGGGAGAACTGTATGTAGTAGTCAATGATGTATAAGATACCCTATACAAACTTATTTATTTATTTATTTACACATATTTACATTTAAAGAACAAATACTTAAAAACTACATGATTACAAAAAGGAGAATGGGCGAAATGTATGGACATTGGGCTCGGAAGCGGCCACTTCAAAAACACTATTTTTAAGACTCATTATGATAAGATAAACAATACTTAGTATGGACAAAAAGTCCTATATTATCGGTAAAAAAAGTTATGACGTCACTTTATGACCTAAACAGTAGAAGTAATAAATCATTCAACAAGCGTTCCATTGTTGACTAAAACATTACCTGCTAGGTCTTTTCATTATAATAATAATAATTTATTGGAACTACTTTACATTTTAGTACATGATAATGTGAACCCTGTCCTCTGGAAAAGGTTACCCTGAGGACCAGAAGACAGTGCTCTACCCACTATTTTTACTTTAGAGCTGCAATAATTTTAAACCACTAAATAAATATTATATAAAAATAATGTTAAAATCCTCATCATTATTCCCTTTATGCAGACGCCGCCGCTACTACGTTTTAACCTCAACCCCCTTTCCCCTCATGCACCCACAAGGGTGGAGGCGTTGTTGTATTCGGGAAGTTGTTTGTCGACTTGCTTCGCGATCAGCTGTGTTCTGTGCTCCCCTATTAGACCAGGGTCGATAATAAACCCTTAGACCGTGTACTGTCATACTTTCAATAATTTTTTTTTTCAATTTCTTTCAATAAATAAGAGCGACAGGCGGGCAGCAAGCTCCGCCTCCTCGTCTCGCCCGCAGCCGCGCCGCCAGCGTCTTGTCTTGCTTGCATCAAGCGCGCGTGGATTTCCTTAGCAGAGTTTTTTAGATATGTATTTATTAAACTCTTCAAAGATCTTATACTTACAATCATCAACACATATATTTCGAAAAAGATTATTACAGAATTTTATGTTGATAAAAAACTCTTATGGCCCATAACTCATTAATAGGTACCAACTCTTAACATCTTACACACGTGATAACTTTTAAACGAAATATCCGATTGAGATGAAACAAAAAGTATTTTACTTCTACATAAATACTCTTGATAACAAAGATTAATATTACGATACATATTTAACGTAGTTTTTTTTTTCTACAGACGATTTAATAATTATTTTGAACACAAAATCGGTTATTGTGATTAAACCATGATAGCTAGGTATATGTTCTCGCGGACTTTTTTGTAGGTCTTAATAGGATGTACAAACCCGTAGTACATCATTTTGTTCTATTGTCAATAGTTTTTGCAGCGCACGCAAAAATAGGTTTTCGATTTTACACCTTGTGTTACAAAATAGCAATTTCATTACGGATCCCTAATTTTGAAAAAAAAAATAGCCTATAGCCTTCCTCGATAAATGGATTACCCAACACTGAAAGAATCATTCAAATCGGACCAGTAGTTCCAGAGATTAGCGCGTTCAAACAAACAAACAAACTCTGCAGCTTTATAATATTATAGTATAGATCATGTAGCTCCACTTTGAACTGAATATAAATTCGTATTATCTGTGATGATTGTTATAATATCTTTAGAAAAAAAAACGTGGTTATAATCCTATGGTGATTTGAGTAATGTATCAAGGGAAGGTTCGTATGAAGGTAATTCTATTGTAGCCGCATATTTAAATTGACTGGTCTCTCACTTAAATGTTAAGGCTCCCTAATAAATCTCTTCACTCGTTTTGCCACAACCTTAGGCATAATGTTCAACTTTCTTTTAGAACGCGTAGTCGTAGCTGGTAAGTTTGTCAATGGAGACAAAACTGATGAAACTGAATTAAGCATAAATGGCAATTGTTCTTGAGACCGACCATTAGGAAACATTTCATTGATTACGGGCGACAATGGAATAGTTTCTTCGTCTGAAAATAGAAGGTTTGGTTGGGTAGGATCAGCATTTTCGTTTTCAGAACTGAACCAAATATGCATACGGTCTAAAGAAGGGGAATAAAACCTTGGTTCAGAACTACAATATGTTACATCATCATCATCACGCTTATGGAGTAAAACTTCGTCTTCGGAGGAGCTACTGCTGCCTAACGAAGATTCATCTTCAGGAGGTATAAGAGCCATAATAGTACGTGTACGTTGCCATTTAGGATTATTCTGAAGCAAAAGAAAAAAGACACATGCTTAACCGCACACCAAGCTTAATCATTGCTTTTCGCATAGTCAGGTTTTGATTATGCATAAGTTACTCGATAGAAGAAGTGTTAAATCAAGCAACTAGACACAAGAACCCTATTATTTAATAAGCCAAGTCATTCACTACCTAACGGGCAATGTTGCTTGAGAGCAACATATAAACTACCTGCTACTTTGCAGGATAATACGCAATGTTGATGATAAGCAACACTGTATTTACAATACATTTAAGTCATTAATTTAAGGGTGAAATAACAAGTTTTATACGTAAATACATTCAGTAGATATTCTATTTAAAAATATGCTATGAATCTAACATTTTAATAAATATAAATCGCAATTACAAAAGGCAATTTCCTTAGAACCGGACGGTGCAGACATTCTCGACGCCATCTTGTGAATAACTGTCAAAATAAGTACGCACAATGACAGTTATTGTTTTTTCTAGTAAGCGTTTCGTTTTAGCTATGTGGTAAACAGAAATCTGGCGAAAAAAAAATTATAACAAAAGAGGGAGAATTTTTGGTTTACTGTGTTGCTCATAAGCATCACTGCGAATTAAAGGGTTTAATATTACTTTTGTGACAAAGATAATGATTGTATTATTTGTGGTTAGAACTTAGAGCTAATGATAAGTTAAAAAATGCCTTTAGTTGATGACTTTAGTTTGGGGGAGTAGTTGGTTGAAATTAGAAAACTATTTTGCATAGCTATTAGCAGAATCGATTATTTGCAAAATGAAGTTCAGCATTTTTTCCTTGATGAATAATCCATACACTCCCAAAGCCAGTTTTTTATTATTCCTTTATAGTTTGAGAATGGTGTCTCAATAAAATTATATTTCTTTTAAACTACTCAAAACAAAATAGGGCCCACCCATAAATAATCCCGTATATTGTCTAAAAAAAATATATAGGGTAATTATTGGCGAGTTGAAGCATTTTAACTTATTGTTGACATGTTTACGAATCTTTATCAATGTTTCAAGCGACAAGTTAAATGTTACTCTTAAGTGAGCAAACAAAAAAGTGAAGTGCCCTAATAATCGTCTAATTTTAAAATTCCCAATCACTTGTGTTCTCAGCCTCAGTCTGTCTATTCCTGTTGCACCTTGTTGTTTTATTCATTTTGTTTTATTTTCTACGTTATTTGCGATCATTATGCCTGGTTCTCGCCGTCATATGGATATGGAAACAGCTTCAAGAGCGGTGGCTATACTTCAGGAAGGACATTAACAGAGATCAGTGGCAATACGAGTTGGTGTGTCACCATGCGCTATCCGTAACCTGTGGGAACGCTGCCAAGAGACTGGTAGTGTTGCTAGGAGAGCGGGAATAGGAAGAAATCGAGTTACCACCGACTAGGAAGACCGTTATATACGATTGACTGTACGTCGAGAGCGTAAAATAATCGCTCGTACCTTACAAAATCGTTTACGCCAATCTACTGGCACACGAATAAGTGATCAAACCATTCGGAATAGACTTCATGAGGATGGCCAACGATCCAAAATGCGAGTAATCCGGCTCAAGTTGACAAGGGCACATCGTGCAGCACGGTTAAGAACACTCGCGCGCGCGCGAGTGTGCTCGCGAACACATAAATTGGACCATGGACAACAGGAGGACAGTACTGTTTACAGACGAGTCTAAAGTGAAGTTTTTTAGTGACGATCGTCGAGTCCGCATGTAGAGAAAAGAAGGCGAACGTTTTTCAGAAGCCTGCATTCACGGAACGGATCGTTTCGGGCGTCCAAGTGTAATGGTGTGGGGTGGAATTAGTTAAATGGGCAAAACTGAACTTGTATTTCTGGAAGAATGCACCGTTACTGCTGCCAGTTACATCGAGCGTGTAATCCAACCTCATGTCATCCCATTTAGGCAAAGAATCGGTGAAAACTTCGTCTTCGTGCAAGATAATGCCCGCGCGCATACGGCTTGTATCACTCAGAGAGCACTTTCAGAAGCCAATATTACGGTACTACCGTGGCCAGCCATGAGTCCCGACCTCATTTCTATTGAACATTTATGGGTTCATTTAAAAAGAAGCCTTAAGTCAAATTTCAGTCATGTGAATAGCCGACAAGACCTCATAAACGCCCTTAAAGTCTGTTGGGAGCAAATACCGACTGAAAACGTTATTCATTTAATCGAAAGCGTTCCAGGGGGCTTAGACAAAGTTACATCGTTTCGTAGCGAAACGATATCTAAATTCGTCATCGTTTCTGAGATAACGAAAACAATTTCCTAGCCAAGGTAACACTCTGGTCGTCATCGTCGTGGCGAATTGTTTTTTCGCTAAGAAAACGAAAATTGTCTATGGTATCGAAAATTTCTGCTGCCAGAGTTAGTCAAGAAGAGCCCGTGAATCGGAAACTTATTTAATTATGTTGCGATGTGAATGTAAGGTTCATTAATAAACGAGTCTCTGTAATTCCTCAGCATCGTGTTAGATTAAGATCACCATTAGTGTTGTGTATCGTTTCTCAGAGCTCATGTTGCTCAGCTTGTTTATACAAAAGTAATACGAGTAAAATAGCGTCCTGTGTGTGGGACAATGCTTTGTACATGTTTTAATTGTATTTCAAATAAAAGATTAGGACCCAGAGGCTCAGGCAGTCCAGTTAATATTATTATAAGTGTGAATTTGTGTTTCAGTATAGAAAACAACAGTAAGTAAATAGTGTTATTAATTACTTAAAAATGGTCCTTGAAACATAATGGAGTGGAGAATAAACGATAGTGGAGTAATCTGTATGTTCATTTTTAGTAATAATCATGGAATCTCAGACCAAATAAAAAGTATTTGGTCTCAGCATGGAATCAAGAGTGCGAGCAAGTCCTGAACAATTGTCAACGCTGCTAGAGTTTATGGAAAGGTAGGTAAATCCAAGTTTTATTCATTATTCGAGATTTAAATCATACAAATATTTGGTAGCAGCTTCGGTCCATGCATACCTAAACACTCATCATGAAGCTTTGTTTGTTTATGTTACAGTCATGGTGACCTGGCTAGGCCTCTTGCTGGAGCACAAGGTCGAGTAAGATCAGACCGACTATGGGCTGATCTTACTAATATGTTAAATGCTGTTGGTGGTGGTGTCAATAAGACAACAGAAAAGTGGAAAAAAGTAAATACCTATTGAATAGTTTTGGAATGACTGGTTTGATGGAACCCTATACTCATTTATATGGTTAGTACTTACTAAGACTGATCTATATTCATTTATTTAAATTATTCAATAAAGGTGTGGGCGGATTGGAAATCTAAGACCAAGAAGAAAGGGCTGATAATTAGAAGTCATGCAAGAGGGACTGGTGGTGGGCCAGCAAGCCGGCAAATCTTGTCGGCTCTTGATGAAAGGGTGCTGGCCATTATGGGCCCTTTAGCAGTGGAAGGACAAGCCTCAGTACAAGAGCTTGGATTTAATGTAAGTATTTTATATTCAAGTTTCTACTTAAAATGGTCAATAATACATATTAAATAAATAAATGAGATTACTTAATGTAAACAAAAGGTACCTACTTAGATATAATGAAGAAACAGACCCATTTTTATTAGGGAAGGCCTGTGCCCTAGCAGTGGGGACATTAATAGGCTGCTGATGATGATAATTGTAATAATTACTTATTCTGTAGTATTAAACCTATTATTATGTACCAATTTTTTTCAGAAGTCCCAATCAGCTGCACCCACACAATTATCTCCACCTATCATCCAAGATAATCCAATCTATTTGGAAATTGTAAATGGTACGTCTTTTGTATTTATTTTATAATGAATGTTAATGTAATTATGCAAATTCAATTCTATGAAATTAATGAATGTCCCAGATTTTCTAAATTTACTAGGCACCCTTAGTTTCATGTTTTCTTAGATTAAATTAGAAATCCTTCCTTCCTTATCATTTTAAATGAAAGGAGGAATTTGTTTCTGTGATCTTTGAACTATCCAAAATGAACACAAAAATTTTGGTTATAATTTTTATTTTTTAAGCATTTAACTGCTTGATGTTAAAGAAAATATAACTAACTACCTGTCTGACTAGTGCCTGGTCCGCGTGGATTTTTTATAGTTATATTTTCTTTAGATTTAAATACAAATTTTGGTTATATTTATATTTTTCAGGCATTTAACTGGTAGATGTTTAAATCTAAAGAAAATAATACTAGAAAAATAGAGATAGTTTTTGGAGCTGGAGGAAACTCGGACCAGGCTCCAGCACGAGCGGGACATGCGAGCGTTGGAGGTTGAACACGACCGGAACCAAGTGTTTGGAAACTTAGTTAATATCGCTCAAGCTTGGCTTGACTATTATCGTAGCAGGGACAACACAGAACCGCTGAACACTGAAAAGTTCTCAATATCAATGCTAAGCGGTTGTGTTATCCTTGTGATAGAAGGCAAACCACAAAACACACAAGCAGGGGGCCACGCGCCGTACTGCATTATCCCCCTCTCAGGGGATAATCGCTTCAGCTGAAGCTTGTAAGGCCCTTCAGGCCATAAACATGTACTACGGGTGTGTTTTAGTCAGTAGGAGTCTGACATAACCTTGCAGCCAGCTGTAGGGTATTCATGAGGATTTCACACCCGCTCTCCCGCCTGGGAGGAACCAAAAAAAAAACGCGCCGTAGTTACATTTTTGTTTTACTGTCCCACTTCCCACTAATGTTATAAACGCAAAGTTGGTATGGATGTATGTGTCGATGTTTGTTTCTGTTAATAAAAACACTATATTAGTTAATAGTAATTTTATTTAGCAACTACATCCTTCTCTCTCTTTATTTCAGTTTCTTACAAAATTTGTGCACGAAGGTGGGTTCGTTCAGCACGATGTGGTGCTGCAACTCGCCCTGGCCTTCACGATGCTCTTATACGTTGCGGGTTCGATGTTGGTGGCTAGTGCGTCACTCAAATTAAAGTCACTGGCTTCAGTACGATTCACAGTTTTATTGGTGCTTCACATAATCTGATACATTGAGGTCACTACACTATATCTATTATAATCGTGCTACACGTTAAATTACTTATTATAAAAACATTAAATCACTATTAAATATGGCGACTGCGCCTTGTGTCTCACACAACGTGATCACTCGCTACGGTGGTTGCTATCGGAAGAGGAAATGCGCTGCGCTGCGCTCGCGCTAGTGATGCGCGTTAAATTAAGGATGCGAATTTGCATGAACATTCCCTCCCCGGGGCAACAACGGGGTTGGAGAACCTAGCCTTCTAAAGGCAACTTGCACAATTTTATAACTGGCCTAACAAGCTCGCCAGATTGAGTTCTTAACTTAACAGATCGTACAACATTATCTCTACCTTTATATAGCTCTAACACCCTACCTAGCTTCCAGTGTAATGGTGGAGTATTTTCATCCTTGATGAAAACTAAATCATGTAATTTTAAATTTTCTGACTCACGATACCACTTAGTGCGCTGCTGCAACGTGCTAAGATACTCAAGATGCCAACGTGCCCACACGTTCTGTTGCAGCTTCTGCAGCATCTGAAAACGAGACAAACGTGACATATTTGTTTCTGACCAATCATATTCAGGCACCGCTACCAGTGGCTGACCAATGAGGAAATGTCCTGGCGTCAAGACTTCCAAATCACCTGGATCCTCAGACATCGCTACGAGAGGTCTGGAGTTTAACCTTTTGAACGCCAGAGCTCAAACGCATCGGCGCCCTTCCCACGCCAAGCCATAAATTCAGAGCAAATACCTACAAATAAAATAGGAATGCCAACGATGTTATCGATAAGTTGTCAATAACCGATTTAATCTCTGCTATTCGTCACATATTTTTGAAATAAAATATATTTTTTTGATTTCGTATTATTTAACAGCAGTTACAAAATTCTATACAAAGTAAAAGTAGACATTAGAACTACAAACGAATAAATCAGGTAATAATAAGATACATCACTAATCTCGTTCGTGTAGGCATTCGCTGTCGGGAAGACCCGACTCTGGCGTGGTTGGCACGACCTTTGACAGCTTTCTTGCGTGCGAGGTAATGATGTGACATTTCAAGTAAACTTATAATTATTATTATAAATTATAAACAACAAGGTAAAGAAAGGGTTGTCTATTAGAGTACTAATTAATTACTTAGCTTTAGTTGATTTTCTCCGTTTTTACTTAAAGAGGCCTGTTACATCTCGATCATGATTTTTGCGTAAAATGCCCCTTTTCACATTTTATAGTAATTTTCCAGTTGTATTTATCGTTTTTATGGAAATAGGATAATAAATTCATGCTTAGTATAACAAATTTTCACTCTGCGAGAAAAAGCTGAGTTCGGACGGCCGGCACATATTTTGTAGTAATTTTGCAGTTGTATTTATAGTTTTTATCGAAATAAGATAATAAATTCATTATAAAATATTATGAAGTAACAATTATTCTGGTATAAATTTTGTTCAATAATATTATCGTATAGGTGAGATTCACAGCGATCTTAAAGCGATTTTCGACGTTTTTTGGTTTAGAATAATTTCTAAGTAAAATCAATGACATCTAAAAAATCAGAGGCCGCTACGAACTATTCGACTATTTAAGAGATAACATTCTATTTTTTTTAATTTCATTTGTTTAGAACAGTAGTTCAATCTAGGAGCTCAAAAGTGCCTTCGCGCACTTAATGAAATTTCTAATATAAGTAGGTATTTTGGTAACCCAATGAAACAAAAGCGTTCAGATCTTGAAAGTTTTATTGATTGACCACAAACACAATTTTCTACAGCCTAATAAGATCAGTAAAATAATCACATACCTAGAACTTTTACTATTATTAAATCAGTTAAGTAATCAATCACAGATATAATTTCTTCTTATTAATATAAAATCAGTCAAATAAACATACAACTTCTTATTACTTAGTGTAAAATCAGTTAAATTATCACAAATACAACTTTTACTATTATTAAATCAGATAAATAATCAATCACAGATATAATTTCTTCTTATTAATATAAAATCAGTCAAATAAACATACAACTTCTTATTACTTAGTGTAAAATCAGTTAAATTATCATAAACACAACTTTTACTATTATTAAATCAGTCAAGTAATCAATCACAGATATAATTTCTTCTTATTAATATAACATTAGTCAAATAATCACAGATACAACTTCTTAATACTTATTGTAAAATCAGTTAAATTATCACAAATACAACTTTTACCTACTACTTATTATATAAGCAATTAAGTAATCACAGCTATCATTTCTTGTTATTAACATAAC